GAAACAGTTTAAATAATTATTTTCTTGTTAAGTTTGACAGGGTGGTACGATGATGAATTTATCTTTAGTAAATTGGTATACTTAAAAAATCGTTATTTAAAATTTGTTTTTATTTTCATGCTTTCACCTATTTGTTTGTTTAGCCACATTCCAACCTCTTTTAATAGTGTTTTATTATGCTTCCTTCATATAATTTTTAAATAACTTCCTATATTTCCATAATTTTCTATTAGTTTATTTTATTGTCACTTATAACGGCATATGAAGTGAACAGCTTTAACTGCTTTAAATTGAATTAATTACTGCAATTGCTGGTGGTTGTTGTTTGGTTTATTAGTTCCCGTATGGAAATCATTGAACTGCCGTCAAGCAATGCGATTAACAAATACACTGAGCCAAACGGTGACTCATCGATGAATTAAATTAAAATCACGCGCACATCACTAACGTCTGACACCTTTCATTTAACCCTTGAAGATGATAGCCGGCGATTAACTAACTGGAAAAGGGCACAAAGTTGGACGTTAAGTTTTGTTTTACTTTATTTTTTGTTGAACAGAAGCAGCGTCGTTAAGTTGGCGGTTATAACTTTTTTTTTATTTTATTTTTAAAACCAGTTTTGGGGCACTGCCACCGTTACCGGCTACTACAGACATTGAACTTTTGTTTGCCTTTATTATTAACACAATCGTTTAAGCTGCTGCTGCTGTTTTTTTTGTTGTTTTTGCTGTTGCTGATGTTGTTGTTGTTGTTGTTGTCACACTTAATATTGTGCATTTATCAATTTTGATTTGGCACACATACATGGCATTTTTGTTGATAACACACACACCTACACGTTTTTGAGCAATAAACAATTGCGAATTGAGATTGAAAATCGCGCAACGATGGAACGGTAGTATAATGATGCCAGCGACGGCCGACGACGACTGACGACTGCGACTGCGGCGGCAAGAACGGATCGAGCGGCCGCAGCCGACGTCGACGCTGGCAGTGACGCTAGCCGCGACGTCGCCGTCGACTTTGCTGATAGAGCCCTGCGCTTCATTGTTGTTGTTGTTGTTGGGTGCTCGTGGTTCTTGTGCCCGCAAGAAAAACAAAGCGAAAGGCAAAAGGCAAAAAGCAAAAGGCAGGCAGAAAAGCAGCTAAAACAAACGCAAACAAACAAAACAAACAACGCAATCGTAGCGACGTCGACAGCGGCTTCATGGGGAGCTCACACATACACCCCCCCACTTACACCCACACAACCACACATCGCACGGTCTACGAATCGAAAAGCCAAAACGGAGCAACAACAACGATGTGAACCACATTCGCATTCAATTGGAGCGGCGAATGGGGAACGTAAACACAGCTAAAAGATAAAGAACGATTGCTGAGAAATCGAGGAACTAGTTCGGTAGCCAGTAATATTTAAAATTATTTCATATCGAAGGTATTTAAATAAGCAGTAATTTTTGAACTTCATGGTTCGTCAATAAGAAACATTTATTATAGAAATTGGTTTGTTAGTCAAATTACAGAAACCATAATTGGACACATTTTGTAGTCCTCAAATTTTTAGTGGTCCATTAACAGCAGAAACTAAATTTCACATTTATAAAGAACACTAGCTCGGTAACAAACAACTCGTAGTTCGCAAAATTTACTAGTCACATTAATTGCACTTATACATATTTACTTAAGAAATAACAAGTCGGTCATTAGTCACAGTTAAAAAATTAACAAGTTTTCTAATAGTTAGATAATCAGTATTTCCAACTACTGGAGAGCAAGCAAAATGATCGTATCTAAAAGTACTTCTAGTCAATTAAAGACATTAATATTTTGCTAATTTACTGATGAAATAGTTTCAGTGATCATGAGAAATCGGTTACAAATAAAGCAAAATATATTTAAAACCAGTTGGCAGGAACTACTCAAATTGTTAAACCAATTTTTAAAATGCATAATAACATTTGAATTTGAATTTTCCACCAATTTTGCATGCATATATTTTCTTTATTTTATCTAAATTCTTTTCACGCTACAAATAAGCTAATAAAATAAAACATCATCATAATAGAAAAAAACTACAAAAAATATTTTCACGTGAACCAAATTAAAGCACAGAAAAAGAGTGTAGTCTAGTTGAATGCTTCATTTAGTGCTCTTGGCATGATAAACAAAATTGATTGATTTTGTTTTGGTTTTCGGATTTTAGCAAACATACTATTCTAATTGAATCGAATTCCAAATTGACCCCACACAACGGTATTCTGAATTAAGTTTTATGGCTGAAAAATTCTCTGATGACGGCAACCCTGAAATATGGATAGTGGCAAAAACCAGCAAAATCAAGAAGGAACTAAAAAAAAATTGTAGAGGAAAAAACATTAGGGCAAAAACAAAAAAGAAAAGTGATGAGGAAAAACAGTAGCAAAAAGAGAGAAGTGGAACAAGGCGAGGGGCAATGGGTCGAGAGTCGTCACCTCTGGCAAGTAGGCGCTGCCAACTTCATGTAAACACTACTATAAAGAGAAGAAGACGATGAAGATGCAGGGGAAAGCGGGGAGACAAAATGGATGAGGGGCCAAAGTAGACGCAGGCACTTGGAGGTCGTCATGCCAAGAGCGAATAACTCATGCATGGTGCGCACATATAGATACAGTCCAACTTCGGTATCTCCAACTTTTTAAAGACTATTTTTTTGCAAGTCAAACTAAGTCAAGTAATAACACTTGAGACCAAAACTTTTTCAACTTTTACTACCTCTATAACTTAAAAAGCTTGAATATCTAAATTCAAGGGGACCAAAACGGCACCAAACAGTCATAATAATTAAAAAAAATGCAAATTTCTCAAAGTTTAAGTCTTGTCAAAACAAAATAAATCTAACAATAATTATGCAAAGTATATAAAATACTATCAAAAAGCCCACAGCTGAGATAAGTCTGTTCAGGCTAGAGAATTATCACTATAGATGGATATAGACAAATGCGTAGCTTGTGTGCAATTGCAATGGCGCCGAGCTGAAAAGCGGAGCAAATAAGAAAACAGCAACACAGCCAAACAAACGCTCTCCAACATAGATTGCAATGTTTATTTATTTAGTCGATGGCAACACCAACAGCACAGCACGGAATCTGCACAATGTGGGTATTTTGAGGGACGTTTGGCGGGAATGGCGAGAATGTGGGGGAGATGCACTCAGACACACTTAGAGACCCAATAATCCACCTGGCAACAGCAAAAACGGAAACAATGTAGGCGAAATAGCAAATAAAATTGAATTGAACTGAAAGACTAAAAGAAGGGGTTGAATGAGCCAAGATTAAATTAAATTCGCAGACAAAATACTTAAGGGCTTTAAGAAATGCAATTTGATTTAGCACTCGAGCTCAAAAAAGGATTTAAATTGCTTGCAATTATTAAAATTCACAAATTTATGTTAAAAACTTAAGCAAACTAATACGATTTCAGTTAAGTTTTATAAGTTTGTAGAATAGTGTTTGGAAAAGCCAGTAATTAAGTGTCAACTCAACAAGCTAACTGCTTTATAACTATTCGAGCGGGTACAGCATGGAAAATAGTTTTTAATCTATGTAAAAAAATATTATATTAGGATAGTATGATTTTAATTATACTACATTTTAAAATTGTAATTAGTTTCATCAAAAGAATTCACAAATTTTAAAACAGTAAGATAAAAAATTCCTCTAATTCTGTTGACCATTATTATGAATGTCTTTAATAATATTTAACATGTCCGAAAGTGGTTAGGATTAAAATATTCCCCTGTACAAAGACTAGAGACAAATGCAAGAGTAAGACAAGAACCCAAACGCAGTCAGAGTGATAAGAAAAGTTAAGTAAACGCACACAACGCACACTGGTCCAAACAAACAAATGATACAGGGTAAACAAAAGAAGGCAAACGAACTAAACCGGGGAGGGGAAGAGGCGATGCTAAGCCCGTTGGGAGTGGGAGTTGGGCTAAATTAAATGTTAGTTCAAAGCAGACGAAGTGTGAAATAATCACATTAACTAATGCACAAACAACGTCAAAGAACAGGAGGCGAGGCCAAGGCGACTAGACAGACGAGAGGGGACTAAAGCCGCAGGAGACACTCGTTCAGAATTGTGCTCGTTACCAAGGCAACCGCCCACCACACCCACCATTCACCCAGCCACCCAACCACCCACTCAGCCTCTTAAGTCATCGCCTACGTCATCGTTGTTTGGCGCAAATGTAAAGAGTGAATTGCCGAGGCAAAAGCTGCCAACACAAGTAAAGGCAGACTCTGAGGAGCATTGTAATGCTTAATTAATGACAGCCACGTTTTGTCTTTGCTTCTTCACCCACTCAGTACAATTAAATTCTATGCTTTGCAGCTGTTTAAAGACCGCACAACCAGGACCAGATACTTATAGGTTTATTTGGGTAAGCAAGTGTCAAGCCTGAGCATTAAGTAATAAACTTTGGAAAGTGCTTCCCTTTTTTTTAAATATCATTCAGCTTACCTGAATAAATTACAAGACTATTCACGAAAATATTAATAATGACTTTTTTGAAATGTGGAAAAATGTTCACAATATGTTTAATATCTAAATGAGTAATTTCAACCTTTATATTATTAGCTTCCAGTTTATTTATTATAACCTGTTTCGGTTTAGCTTGACGTTTGAACTCAGTATTTATATAATTATAATATAAAACTAACATTAACCCCTTTAGCCTCACTTGTAAATCTCTGTGTAGCTGTATTAACCATAAATTTTGATTTCCAGACAATCTACCACTCGAGTCTTATCATCTTTGGTACCAAAATATAGCTCTGTACGAACTCAATTAGGGATTGTCCAGCGGTACAACGTATCATATTGCTATCAACTAATCCACATATGGACGAAACTGGAATGAAACAGCGGTAATTATTATGGTCGCCCCATTGGCCTCCCCACTCGAGGGCGCGCCGACTATCTAAACAATTTTATCATCAACTGGAGCAGCGAGAACCATTTTCAGTCTCTGCCTGGCGTTCGAGCGTGTTGGAAGTGTCGGAGAAGATTGCGGCCAAAGTAGAGTATATTCTGAATACATCTATTTATTTAGTACAGTAATTGTGAGTAGGCAGAAATGGATTTGCGTGTGGGGTTCACTGACAAGCTGAAATTGGGCGCCAAGTGAGTACAAAGTTTGCAAACGAACGCGGGTGCGATGAGTCATCATAACTTGACATCTTTTTTTGCAGGATAATCGCCCATAAGGTTGTGCAGTATAAGTTGGGCACGGGTCAGACCAAAGAATTGACCACCAAATATGGTCAGGTAAAGGGTCAGCTGCGCAAAACGGTCTACGATGGCGAAATCTACTACTCTTTTGAAGGCATTCCCTTTGCCGAGCCGCCAGTGGGAGAGCTGCGTTTTCGCGCCCCACAACCACCGAAATCCTGGCAGGGAGTAAGGGATTGCACCTTTGCCAGGGCAAAACCGATGCAGAGGAACCCAATTATTAAAATTACCGAAGGATCCGAGGATTGCCTTTACCTCAATGTTTACGCGAAGAAACTGGAGACGCCAAAACCTCTGCCCGTGATGGTTTGGATTTTCGGCGGTGGTTTTCAGATAGGTGAAGCCTCCCGATATCTCTACGGACCGGATTACTTTATGAAACACGATGTCCTACTGGTCACCCTCAACTATCGCGTTGGTGTCTTGGGTTTTTTGAGTCTGAAAGACAAGACGCTCAAGGTACCAGGCAATGCGGGCCTGAAGGACCAAATCCAGGCACTTCGCTGGGTCAAGGACAACATAGCCAGTTTCAATGGTGATCCCGAGAATATAACCGTCATGGGTGAGTCAGCTGGCGGTAGTTCCACCCACATCCTTATGCAATCGGAGCAGGCTAGGGGGCTCTTCCATCGCGCCATCGTGCAATCTAGCTCGGCTTTATGTGCCTGGGCCACGCATCCGGATCGAAAGTGGCCCCAACGTTTGGGCAAGCAATTCGGCTACACCGGTGACTTGGAAAGCGAAAAGCAACTGTTGGACTTTTTCCAGCAGATACCAGCTGATAAGCTGACTCTGCACTGCAATGCGATTATGACGCAGGAGGAGCAGCGCGACTATGAGATCTTGGCATTTGCCCCGGTCATCGAACCATACGTGGGCGAGGATTGTGTGGTTCCGAAATCCCAGCATGAACAGTTGCCCACCGCCTGGGGCAATCAGATTCCAATGATCATTGGCGGCACCTCGTTCGAGGGACTCTTCTCGTATCAGTCCACTTTGCAGGATCCGCTTTACATGTTGAGTGCCTTTGAGGCCATAATTCCAAGGAAGGTCCGTGATGCCGTCGATAAGGATGAGCTGGCGGAGATGGTGAGGCGGCTAAAGAAATCCTATTTCGATGATCCTGAACGATCCAGCATGGAGCTGTACGAATGTCTGCACATTCTGAGCGTCAAGAACTTCTGGCATGACATTCATCGCACTTTGCTCGCCAGATTGACCTATGCGGCCAACTCATCCACGTATCTATACCGATTCGATATGGATTCACCGCACTATAATCACTACAGGATCTTGAAGTGCGGCAAGAAGGTGAGGGGTGTGTGCCATGCAGACGACATCTCCTACATGTTCTACGGAATACTCTCCAGCAAATTGGACAGGAATACACCTGAATATCGCACCATTGAGCGGTTGATTGGCATGTGGACATCGTTTGCCACCACTGGAGATCCCAATTGCGATATTATCGCACCCGTGAAATGGGATCCATTGCGACCAGGTGGTCCGGAACACTGCCTCAACATCGCCGATGGTCTGGAGTTCATGCCATTGCCGGAAAGCAAACAGTTTGTTGTATGGGATAGTTTCTATACCAGGGAGAGTCTCTACTGACGACGTTAAACTACATAACCAAATAATTTCAGGAAAATTAAAAAGCTTTATATGGTGTCCTTATTTCAAATTTGCTTCTTCGTTCATAATGGGCGATATAACTACGACTTAAGAATGAATCTTGTATTTCCGAATTCGTTTTACATAATTTTTTGTTGATGTATTTTTATAGTCTTTGTAACTTTCACTTTTATATTAAGGTCTTTAGATGCTTTTGATACTTTTCAATTTATTAGCTTTAAACCCAGTTTTTGTACAATTTTTGTATGCCAAACTTTAAACTAAATAAACCGAAAGAGAAAACACAACAAATCTTTGTGTTGGTCAGTGTCAAAATCAATAAATGCGAAGAAAGAATTTTATCAAGGTCTGATAAAGGGTAAGCCAAACGTTTTAATACGACACAAGAAATAACCCATAAACCGAAGACGACTGTTCCAATTATCCCACTCCAAAAATGATTCGCTTAATGTATTCTCTTGGGTTTTATTCCATTTTTATAATGGCAAAGTTTTCGGTCGGAATTGATTTCGCAGCCAGTTTTATCCGGATCTAGTGTCTGGGTCGTGTTTGCGCTTCTTTTATTGATTTTTGGGCAGGCTGCCAGAAAATTCTTGGGAGCCAAGGAAATACCGCAGGTCATTGTTGTCAATCTCATAATATGTTCTTCTTTTACTGGTTTGCTCTGCATTCCCCATCCATTCACAAGCTTATAAATTTATGAAATGTTTAAACAACAATTAATCTTCGATTTTGGGGAATCAGGCCTTGCGATTTTGAAATTTTGTTTAATGACTTTCACAGGAAAAAAAGAACTTTTATGGAGAATTTTATAATGCCATTGCAAACATAAACTTGATTTATAATGGAGGGTATTTTTAGACAAACGAGAAACAAGTTGGGTTTATTTGCATATCAACTTGTCTGCAACAAAGTCGGGATTACCCTTTAAAATGTCTTTAAATGTACATAAACTTAAGGGGGTTAATACTTTGTATTATGATTTTGTAAAAATTAAATAAAATAATAACATATGTATGTATAAAAATTCTAAAGAATATTATTTTTTTTAAATCTTGCTTAAATATGTACAAAAATCATTTAGCAAAGTTGATGGTTAAATCAATGTAATACAATTTTCTACTGCACATTTCAGAGGGTATCTTAAGCGATTTGTTAATACAATTGTTTATAACATGCCTCGATATAGTTTATGGCTTTCGTTTATTTCGGTTCTGGCATCGAGCCAGACCAACGGATCGATTTAAATTTTCTTACTATTTTCATGATTTGATTTTGTTTGCTCGCACTCGGTTTGCTTTAAATAAAATTTGAGCATAAATATTTAAATTGTTTTTCGCACATTTCGTTGAATGGAAAATGGGTGCGCGTCATTGGGGGAGGAAAACGCGCTGGTTGGTCTGTAGGTAGGCCCGGTTTGGTTGCTTTTCTGGCAGCCGGCCAAAAGAGAATTTCCATGGTTTACTGGGTTAAATTTAATTAATTTGTCTCGTCGCCTCAGCCCAGCGCCCAGTCGCTATGATTTTCCCAGTTTGATTATTTATTCATCCTGCATTTTCCTGAATAGGCTTGTGGACACTCCGCACCTCTCACCTCTCACCTCTCACCCCTCACGCCCTTTTCTGCATTGCAGCATTTGCCATTTTATTTGTCTTTATTTATTTATTTATTATTTCGTGAGCGCACTCATTTTTTTCCACCGCTTATTTTTGTTTGGGCTTTACTTTTTCCTGCGAAATTTACACAATTCCAATTAATGGCATTTAATTATTTATCCGGCATTTTACACATTGCATTCCCGAGTTTCGAGAGGCGACTGTGAGCTGCGGCAGCGACGCAGGCAGCGTCTCACCAGCTGTGAGTTTTGCATTTTTATGGCATGTTGGAAATTTCTGCGCTGAATTTAAAATTCAAATTGTTTTGGTTTCGTTGCGGTGGGTGGCGATGGGTGACTATGGGGGGTGAGCCCCTACAAATTAATTTACATTTGCGGGCTTTGTTGCGTGCGAACGAGTGGGTGGCGATTGGGGTGTTCTCAAAAGTTTCGAGGCCCAAACTTATATGAAATTAATGTATTTATAATTTTTTTTCTATTTATAATATAATTTCTGAAATTTATTTAACCGTTGAAAATACGGCAAAAAAATGTTCTTTTACATCGACTGAAACTAAATATTTTCTGAACTATTAAAAAAAGGAAATATGTTATTTTATAGTGGATATCTGAGGGGCCTCAACCGACGCACAGATTCATTTATGTTTTTCAATACTTTTTTTTTCGTTTATTTTAAAATAATGTTTTTCCTGTTCAATCAAAAGATAAAAATTTTCCCAAATCCAATTAGCAGTTTATATAAAACTAATGAAGTAAGTACGAGTTAAAGAATAGACACAGTATTTCATGTTTCTCTACTACTTAAATGACATTATATATGAGTTTTTTAAGTTGTTTTAGACTCGGCTTTTCCGTTCGTATTGTAAGCTAAAAGTATGAGAAAACTTATGGAATTTTGCAGCTTAAAACATATATAACATTTAGAGACCGGGAAAAACAAAATTCCCACGAGTTATTAACCAAAATACCTAAACAAAAAATTAACCTGTAAGAAAACTATCTAATTTCTTTATTTAATTTAGCCATAAAAACTGTCATGGGTTTTCCATTTTCATAACATAGTTTCCCTTGGGAAAGGAAACTTTCATTGAGGCGAATAACACGTGAATCATTCAAGAAATACTAAGCACACTGAAACCAAATTTCGTGCCCCACTCCCCGAGACAAGCTATACAACCACTATCAATGAGCGAAACCAGGGCGATGTCTCAAATTTATAAATACATTTTCGCATTCAGAAATAAAATCGAAAGACAAAAAAAAAAAAAAAAAAAGGAAAATGCGAAACAAAACGAAAGAAGCGAAATAATCGCGGAAAGCTATTAAAATTTAATCAGAAACACAAGCGACCCTGCGGTCAAAATTCCCACAACATTCGCCGCCTTTACGAGGTCTCCTCCCGCGTGACCCCTCCTTGATCCACAGATCCACAGTGGTGTGGATTGTTGGTGGATGATGATAATTCCCTCTGCGCGGCGGGACAGGGGGGGGGGGGGGTGTACAATATATACTATACTAAAGTACTAAAGTATATGTGGAGGCTGACGACGATGGCAACGACAACGAAAGCGACGACGACGACGACGACCCCACTGATTAATCGTTCGCACAGTGGAGTGCCTTACGCCCGGGTCAATCTCCATGGCGCCAACATCATCATGATCATCACCATCGCCATGGCACAGCCTCATCGTTATGGTCATCATCATCCGCACATTGGGTGCTGTGGCCATATTTTTGTTTATTTTGATTCGTGCGACGCGAAACACTGCTCTCGTAAATTTGTTTCTGCGTTTTGTTTTATTTGGTTTGGTTGCCAAGGTTTGTTTTTACCATTTGCCATTTTCCATTTTCCATTTTGCATTTTGCATTTCCTCTTCATTTTTTCGACGCAGCGTGTGCTCCCCCTATTTTAACCGCCCCCTAACCATTTTTATTGAATTCCATTATTTATGCGAGAGTGCACAATATTGAAATTTTCACAAAATATTTGGAAAAACGATGGTTTGTATGCTGCTAGCATCTATAAACATTTCTATTTGCATATTCATACATTTTATGTGGATATGTGCGTATAGAGTGGGGGGTTTAACTTAAAGCGAACCCCCCTTTTGGTTATTTTGCGGAGATGAATGTTTAAGTTTCGAGAGTTCGCAGGAATTCATTTTGATGACATAGCTAAAACAAGTATATCAGATTTTTCAGATTGCTTAATTGAAAACCATCTGACTTATAGTTCTTTTTAAGTTTATATAAGGAAGGTGAAATATTATTATTTTTTGACTTATGTAAACTGAAATACGAAGACTTTTCTTCTCTGCAAAATAAAATACTTTTCCCAAGTTTACCATAAGAACAAAGAAATCAGACCCAAGTGCCAAAAATTCAACTGAAAACCTCGACACCATTTCTGATCGAGATGTGAATGAAAAAAAAATCGCTAGCGAGGCCGGATGAATCTGCTCCATATGCATATATGCCAATGAGAGAACCCCGTATTTGAATTGCAAACTCACCTGGTGGGCGTTCCATTGCTGTATGAGGTCCTCGTAACAGGGCAGACAAGCCTGGATCATGCCGCGCGGATCCTTGGGACGTGAGCGTGCTGGCCGCGGATGCTGTTCGTTGAACAGGGGGAAATACGCCACAGCTTGCCCTGGTCTTCCGGTTTCCCTTGGCTTCACCGTACTCAGCTCGATGAGGCTTCCCCTGCGCTGTTCATCGCCGCACACGTAGCACACCTCGGTGATGGAATTCTTGTCCGGCATGGAGAGGTCCAGGATTCCCACTTCTGGTTGCGGTTGACTGGTCGGCGCCACCGAACTGATGATCGATCCATGACGAGGCGTTGGTGGAGCACTGGAACTCGAGGAGTTCCGTAAGTCCAGCACGGTGGCATTGTCATCTTCGAAAGTGGACGGCGCCGGAGGTCCCAGTGGGGCACTGCCGGGCGAGGGCAACGCACTGTAGGGATTGCCCTTGTAGTGGGCCGACTCGGCTGCTCCGCCGCCAGCGTTCACCTGCTGCTGCAGCAGATGATAGGCGGCCGTCTGCTGCTGCAGCTGTTGATACTGGGCGGGATGATACGGCGCCTGGCCCTGATAGCCAGCCGGTGGTGGTGCCGGACTTAGCTTGAACTTCTGCTGGGCATAGCCGGCGGATTTCATGGCCGGCGGCTCGCTGGGCGGTCGCGATGAGGGCGAGGCCACGGGCATGTCCCGTGATTGTGGCCTGCTCAGGTATCTGTTGTGGCTGCTCGACGGCGTCGAGTTCCTGGGATAAAAGTCCCCACCACCACCACCACCACCACCACCGCCGCCACCGCCACCGCCGGCAGCACTGGGATTCGGCGAGGGTGAGGCATTCCTTGAGGTACTGTGGTGGTGGTGGTGGTGATGCGACTGCTGCAACTGCGGCGAGTAGTGGCGTGCCAAGGCATAGGGATCACCGTGGCCCTCCACCAGGCCATTCTGGGTGAGATGCTCAGCACTCAAACCCAAAACCTGGGCGGCATACTCGCTTTGTGTGGCCACATCGGCTCCAATGTAGCCCTTTCCGTCCACCCGTTTCATGTGGTAGATGCGCTGCAGCAGGGGTTTCTTTTGCCGCTCGTAGGCATCCCATTGCTCGTTCAGGGATCGAAAGCAGAGCATACAGGCCCACACGTAATCCTGGCCAGGCGTCACTCCCGTCAATCCGTTCGGCGGGTCGTGACGCTCCAAAAAGGGAAAATAAGATTCAGCGGGACGCTCGGCATTGTGACGAATGCGCAGCGGTTGCGGCTCATAGCCACCATGTCCGCCACACACAAAACAAATGGTCATGGGCACATGATGGTGATCTGGCGGCGCTGAAGCTCTTCCCGTCGACTTGACCCCGGCATAGTAGTGCTGAGCGGCATGTGGCTGAGAGCCCAAGTGATATTGCTCGCCGGGAGTCCGGCTGCTGCGATGAGCCGCTGCACCGGGTGAGGGCATCAGCTCCACGGGCGCGTAAGGCTGCTTGGTCGCTTGGAGCGTTCCAGTCGAGGCCGGCGAGGTCGGGTTCGGTGTGGTTGCTGGCTCGGAAAGCTGGCTGCCACCGCGAAGTTCATTTTTGATATACGCCTTCGCTTTTTCCATAATATCAGCAGCTGCAATGAAAGAAATAGAAGTCAAAGACGTTAGAAATTGCTTAAATTAATCTCACTAAACTTAAACCGAACATTTGTATGTTTTCTCAGTTAAATCAATCTTACTCAGCTAACCAATTTCCAAAGAAATATAAGCACAGAAAACAATTAGATTCTAAGTGGCGACATCTGCCGGAGTGCAGCGCCAACACTACACCCCTGCTAACAGGTGTTTCGTTCTATCGCGCTCTTTTATGACGTTATAATATAACTTAATTGCAAATTACTTCTATAATAAAAGTTCGATTTGGAAAATTGTGGGTCTGTCGTAGATATTGACCGAATAAATAAATACTGCCCAATAACTAGCCTCTACCATGCTCAGATTGACATGACAGAATTTCGCGATTTGTGGGCTTTAAGATGGGCGTGGCCAAATTTTGATTTACAATTGCGCTGCGTGTTTAAAACTAGAACCTGCATGTTGATTGCCAACAAGTTTACGAGTTATCGACGTTTATACGGACAGCCAGACAGACATGGCTAAATCAAATCGGCTAGTAATTGTGACCAAGAATATATATCCGTTGTAGAGTGGTAAACGCTTTCCTCTGACTGTAACATACTTTTCAACGAATATAGTACTCTACGAGTAAAGGGTAGGGTACGTCTTCATTAAGACCCTTCAAGTTTTAAGACACGTAAACCCTCAAATTTAAATTTTCAAATAATTGAGTTTTCATCAAAAGTTATTTATTTTGTTCATCAATGGTGTTTAAATAACATAATATAATAAACAAAAGTATAAACAATAAACCTGTTGATTTTAATCTAAAAGTCAAAACTCTGTCACAAGTAAAAAGTTAAAAATATGTTGATGATTTCTTTGAAAAATAATAACATATTTTGAACTTTTTAAGAGGCCATTTGACTCCCAAATTCTGCGAATTAAGTCATAAACCAGGAACAGATTGTATTTTATTCTCCATGATCCCCGTTCTGGCGACCAGCCTCCAGCGCAGTTGGCAGCGTTTGTGATCACAAAATCGATGCACGTTAATCGAACGATCACCGATGGCGATAACCTATTTCAGTGCGGGTCTCGCGATAACCCGCATCACTCAGCGATCATGATCTCTGAGCTCTGGGCATCAATGTGGGAAGTATACAAAAAAAAGCGATGGAAAGAAAAGAAAAAAAATATTTGCATGTTTAAGTGATTCGACGATTTGTCGGACGTTGCTTCTTGTTTCTGAATCGATGTGATTTTATTTGATTTGATTTACTTCGCTTCTCGTTTTTCGTGCGACGCGCATTTGTTTTCATTAATATGTATAACAATTTCAGACATGTGACGCAAGTCGGACACTCGAAAGAGCAACTGAATATGGAGCTAATAACGAGCGAAACGGGAAAGAAAAAGTCAGCGGAGAGGAAAGCCCCTCGAATATGAAATCAGATGTACGAAGATTTTAGCATATATCTCGCACTCTAGAGTTCCAGATAAATCCGGTCGGACGCCTGGCTAAATATATCGGTGTGATTTGTTTATAGCACGGACCACATCCGAATGGTGCTAATTCGCTTTATCAAGTACATACTATATGAGTCAAATCAGGCTGCTGCCCCACAGCAAATTCGCTAAACAATTTTGTGCTGCCCTCGATTAGCGATTCTCATCATAACGGAAACAACAATTGAACAATGGGTACGCTGTTTTTGAATTGCTTTATTTCTAATTCAACATTATGCAATCATAGTATTTGCTTCAACTAATTAAATGTTTCATTATTTATTTACAAAAATTGTTAACAATTTTCCAGCAGTCATTTTAGTGGCCATAATAAAGTTGTTTAATGTAAGCAAAAGCATGCAAAAAGGAAGTTTTTCATATTGCAATTATTTTTAATTTATTTATGCGCATTTTTATTGATTTTTTGTTTGGGTTGGTGGCTTTTAAAGAGGTGGGCAAGCAATTGTTTTTGCTTTTTGGCCAGCTGCAGGTGGAAAATGTAGTTTCGAGCGCCCATATTTTGTATTTTCCCCTTATTTTTCTGGTTCAAGCTTTTAAGAGTTGTTTACAGTTTTTTTTTTGTTTTAGTGTGTTGCCTATACAGTTAGGGTTAAGTTAAAGGTATTTCCTATTTGAATTTATCATGTAAGAGATATTAATTTTTATTTTTGATATAATCATACAAATATTCTTTTAGATTTAGTAAAGTTTATTTACCTTACTACAATTCTAGGCATCGACACTTTTCACTTAATTGTTTGAGTTGGCAAAGGTCAAGGGCCTTTTGCAAAAAATTCTTGCTTTCTGTACTTAACCTTCTTTATAATCAATTTAAAATCAATTTCATTATACACAATAGGGGAAAATTTTTTTCGAATTTTTTTATTTGGAAATAGTTATTTGTCAAATGTCAACATCTCTTTTGCTGACCGCAACTGTGAGTATAGTATGTTTTCAGAGTTTTTGCCTGTGAATGCACTTGAATATTGTTGCTTTTGTTGCCGCCCACCTGCCCCTGTCTACACCCCCCTTGCAGTTGTTTTAAAAAGTTTTTGTTTTTTTTTTCCCAGCAGCTCGCAGGAACATTTTTACGGCTTTCATGTCCTTGTTTTTGTTTTTGAGGGCGTGGCATAACCAGAACAAGTGAAATAGAAAACCCAGCGAACCATTGCTTAAAGTTTTCTTCCACCAAAAAAAAAAAAAAAAGTTTAGCTTTAACCATTGAACTCGCGCTTATCGTCGATGTTCTTGGCTTTGTTTTTTCTATAGTTACAGTTATAGCTGTAGCGGAAGTTGCATACAATAACAATAACAACGGGGGCTGAAGCATTGTACAACTTTTCAGGACAAAAAAGAAAAAGTTGCGTTGCTCGAAAAAGTTTTTAGCGTTGTTGGAAATTCTTTTCTTTCGCTCTCTTTTCGATTATATGTTGAGTTTTTTTTTCGAGTTCTTGCTCTAGACTCTACAGTGTGGAGCTAGCAAAGTGAGTTAAGGTGCTTAAGTTTTGCCATCTTCATTGTTCGTCGCTTTTTATCTATTCTTTTATTTTTGTGCCAGTTTGCTGGAAAGAAACTAAACGCCGCGGGAAGTGAGATGCATTTGGGGAAAAATTGGGGAAAAATGTAATAATAAATCTCGCAGTGAAATATGAATTCGTAGCGAGCCAAAAAAGGATGTTTTCTACGGATGTTCATATTTCATATTTCCAAGCTTTTGGCTAGCCTTTGAGGCAATTGAAGTTACGAGCGAAATTGAATTTTAAAATTTGCATTGGCCAAACAAGATGGAGAGCGGAAACAAGACCAGCAAAAGCAAGAACTGAATGGACAGATAAATCCCGAACGAGATGCAACAACGAAAACATGGCGATATGACAGCCAGCGGGGAGTGGGAGTCGAAAATGGAATTTATTAAATAGCATTCCGCGCAATAAACTCTCGCAAAAAACACAAACAGCAAAAATCCGCACCCACACACACACACGCGCATAATCAAATAAAACAACATGGACATGCAATTTTATAGCAGGACATCGGTTTCCTTCTGTACACCCCTACGCCCTCCGCAATTTTTATAAAACTCCAACCTCACAGTCTCCCTCCTCACGCAACATCAACAGACACAAAAACAATCAAAAACAAGAATGGAAAGATAGGGATCGAAATTGAGAGCGTCCATTTCGGTCCATTATTCATTCGGTATTTCAGAAATTTTGTATATTTTTTAAGATCAATTTTAATAAACGTATTTATTAGCTATTGATATTAATTATTATACGACAAAAAATGATAATACATTTTGCTATTTGTGGGATGTGGCAGTGTATCATAATCAATAGCTTTTTTTCATAGTTTTTTTTTAGAATCTGTCCAGGTAGCACAATCACTAAATTTAATAATATCAATAGCCAATAAATTAATTATAAAGATTATTAATATTATTATTATCAATTAATTTATTATTAAGAGAGAAATGCATTTAATTAAAGCATTAAATTAAGTAAATTAAACAAAAGCTACCAAAGCTTAATGTAAATTTAAGATTAAGTAAGTCGGAGAGACATCCTTTATAGCGTTACGAACTTTTAAATACAATTTTTTTTTTTTAAATTATAATACCCCCTGGAAGGGTATACAAAAAAGGAACAAATAAAAGCAGTAAAACAAAGACCGCTCAACATTTTTTCCATTAAGAGCACGAAAAAACTGGACCTTTAAAAGGGGCGCAGGGATATGGAGAGAAGGCTCCATTGTGCATTCAGATTCAGGTTTTCGGACCTGATAATAAAAAGAGACCAAATAAAAAGGTTAAATTAATAACCGTGGTCGCTCTTTAAAGTTAAAACCAAATGCGACAAATAAAGAACCGATATGTGTATGTATGTTTGTACTACAGACGAAATGCATATTTAATTATTGTATAAATCATCCGTTTTATTTTGATTTTCATTTTATTTATCATGGAGTTGGTTTTTTCTGGAAAAAGCGTCTGCCTCATTAAATTGCCATTTTAATGATTATTTCGTTTCCTCGATTTCACAAATAAAATAATTTGAGATTTAATTAAATCGGTTGGTTGAACTAAAAGTTTGTTATTAAGCTAATTGATAAAAATAATGTTTAAGTAATTATAATTAGGTATCTCTAATTTTAAATCACTGATGTGCATCCATCAAATTTTTGTCATATTTGACAATAGTATTAAAATAATTATAACGCTAGACATAACCGTACCACTTGCGATTGCTCGTTTGCCTGGACTTACGCAATTTTTAATTGCAGTTTTATGAAAAAGTTGAGTTCGAGGCGGACACATGTGATTGAAACCAAATGAAACCAAACCGTCAACTTGCAATTGATTAAAATTAATTGAATTTTCAATTTTGTCTTTCGCCGGCTTGCGAACCCAACCGGTAACCGGTAACCGGTTTCAACCGATTCAAGGCGAACCATTCAATTGAGCAAACGGTATTTTAATATTTTAACTGATTGATGGCAGTTAATATGGCCTGATTGTTCCGATACTGACCTGTGCTCCGGTGTGCTTCGGCCTATTCCAGTTGACTCCTATTAATCCAACTCATGTGCTTGTTTTTGTTGGGGAATTATTGCGACGCTTAAAGGTGGAAGCAGGTGAAAAAAGGGCTTTACGGGAATTAAAGCCAGATAAGGGGATTGAAGGGATTTAACATCAGGAAAAACACATTTGGTTGTAGGCACTTTTCTCGACTTTCCTTTGGGGTTTCTATGTTTTTTTATTTTTACTAACACTCTTGGTTATATTTCTTCACTTGCTTTTGAAGCTATTAAGAGCACTAGTGAAATTTCGGATATTTGAATTGAGCAATTTAGGTAATAAAGGTGATTTAAATACCCATTATTTTCTGTGTTTACAGTGTCATGTCATTTAGAATGAACCGGTAAGGTTTTTATTAATTTTAGACAGGGCGGAATCTAAAATGGGTATTATAAAAATTTTTAAAAATTTTGTATTGCTTATACAAACGATTTTATATATTAATATGTTTATTTTTATATCACTAACGGAATTAAACAAATTGAATAAAAATAAAAGGAACTAAAGTGTCTTTACGAAAAAACATTTTAGACCTTTTTCCTTTGAGACAGTTTGTAATAGTTGTTTTTAGTTTTGGCCACAGCATTTCCGCTGTTTTTGATGTTTTTTTTTATTATTTTTGTTTTAAAATTGTATTTGATATAATTATTGTTTAATTTATTGATTTTAAAGTATGCATGCCTGAAATCTAATGACTACTACTTGGTTTTCAACAGTGCATTTAATGCTGTTGATAGCAAATATCGACTTATTAAATATTTACTATGGTATTAGGCTTGTATTTCATCTTTTGTGCTTTAACGGGTAATAGATTAATGTTTTGCTTCGATATCTTGCCGTGTATTTCGATAGCATTGTATATATTGTACTTTAAGCATAAGATATCGACTTGATCTATTTATTAAAAAGGTTTTTTTTTTTATTGGTTATTTCCGATTTCTGTCAGTGTTAATTTCTGTTAAAAGAATTCCGGTAGTGTATTTAAATCCTTTAAGAGAAGATATTGATTTGTTTATTTAATAAAATGGCACTGGTGTTTTCTTATATTCAGCTGTTTTTATGTAACTATTTTTCTTTGGTTAATTTTTAACGTTGTTTACTTTCGATTTCTGTTAGTGTATGTTGTTCGCATTGTAAACATTTTTACAGAATTCAGAACAAATTTCGTTTCATGGCCACTGCGGTGGTCTCTCTGCGCTGACGCCGGCAGCGACGCTGGCCACGACGTCGGCGTCGTCAGCGAAAGGCGACACCATTTCACCGGCGACACATGCGAAATGAGTGCGACAGAGACGGATGATCGCGATCACACACAACGCACACACAATCTCGCTGCAACTGTTGCAGCAGCAGCAAAAACAACAACAATACAGTTAAATAGTCGCTGTTTTTTTTTTGTTTTTCAGCGCTGTGACCTTGGAACCGTTAACTTTTCAAGCTGAACTCTTGGACTTGTTAAGTTACCCGTAGTTATAACACCTAAAAAGCGCTTATCCAATTGTTTGCCTTTTGCTTTTGTTGCTTGTTGCTGCCTCTGCCGCAGTCGCTGCCTCTGCCGGCGTCAGCTGCTCACGTACGTGAGTGTTTCTGTGTGTTATGCCGTTTGTTTTTATAACCCTTTTATTTGGCACATTTTTCGCCACCGTGCAATTGCAATATTTACGGAATATTCGCGGTTGTTGAGGCTTTTTGGCAATTTTAGCGCGGAGGTGGATCGGCGGAGACGACGGAACAGCGATATATAATTGCAGCATTGGCAAGAAGAAGAGCCGACCAGCAGTGGCGACCAGTGTGTACACACCGCGGCGAAATTGCCACCTGGCCGACAGAGTGGCCACATTGATGGAATTCATTGCATTTTATTCTTGTTCACTGCACTTAACTTAATTACTTTTTCTACTTGCTTTAATCTACTTGGCTCACTTGATTTTATTTACCACAAATTTAAATGATTCTACGCGTAACATTCAAAAAATAAAGAAGAAGCAGGCCATCAGCTGTTGCTCATTTGCTGCTCATATTGAGTTTGGTGCTAACGCGTTTTTGCCACTTATTGGCGCCACCTTTAAAACAGATGATAGATTTCAAAAGACGCGGATATCAAATTAAATATTAATAAGAATATAGTTCAACGTATATTAAACGTAAGGATTACGATTTTACGATTACGATTCAGTCACAATTAATAATACAAATATTATTCAGAAAATGTTTAATCAACTGTAACCAAATAAATAGGCTTGACGTCCCTCAAATAAACAAATAAATAGAAAACCTTAATAGGTTTAAATTATTTGATAACTTCTTAAAAAATATTATTTTCGTTTAATGCAAATTCTATAAAAGATCTTACAAATATATGTTTAAGCAACATACCATTCCAAATCTAATAAGATTTTATATTTTAATCTTTAAGAGAAGACATAATTTTTGCTAATTTCATAAAATGATACTAGTATTTACTTATGTTCAGCTGTTTTATATAACTTTTTTATATTTGGTTATTATTTAACGTTGTTAAATAAGTTCTAATCATTAGCTCCTAGATTCCAAATATCTTGAATAATTTTTAGCTTGAACTATAATTAATATAGTTACTAAATTTATTGCAATTTTTAAATTTAATAGTTACATAGTTTTTGCAGATGGCTTTTTGACAATTGTCAAAAAAAGTTTGTGTTTCCAAAACCTTAATTCGAACTACATATGTATAACTTACCAAGCAGTACACGAAAGCCTTATACTTCAACCTCAAATCCACTGTAATAATAATCAGAAACTACAGGGTGGGCCCAAATAACTGTCGCACTTAATTTTTGAAATAAAAAACAAACCATGAGATATTTTAAGTAACAAATATTATTTATTTAATATATATTAATATAGCTTACATTACTAAGACTTAAGTTCTAATCTTTCCCCTTTGTATTTTCGGGCGAGCTTCAAACGTTTCTTAAAACTATTGCAAGCGGCACGCACCACATCATCAGGAATTTCATTCCAAATTTTTGTCAAGTGTCGCTTAAACTTTTCCAAATTCATCTTTTTTAAATCCTTTAGTCTATCCAGCATGTAACCCCATATGCAGAAGTCTAAAGGATTTAGATCTGGTGACGATGGAGGCCACTCATCAACAGCCATGAAACATGGAATGTTATCTTTGCACCAGTGCTGAACAGTTTTGGCCTTATGAGCCGGAGCAGAGTCTTGCTGGAAGCAAAATGGCTTATTCCCGAACAGCTTTGATGCATGGGGATAAAAATGGCCCACAAGCACTTCATCCAAATAATATTTGGCATTGATTTTCACGCCTTTATCGATAAAAAGAAGGGGTAACTTACCTTTTTCAGATATGGCCCCCAAACCATGACAGACGTTGTGTTTTGGAATCTCTCAACAGCAATTTTTCTGTTGAAATATCCTCCATACTTGCTGCATACACCCGATCATTCTGCGGGTTCAGGCTTTTTGCAATATGAACAACTTTTCATCAGAAAACACAGTATTGCAACCTGCGTGCCGCCGAAGTAACTGCCCACTTCTTTCCTGTCGCATTTTTTTTTGACGTTCTGTCAGACCATGAATTCTTTTTTTTTGTAAGGTTTCAGTCCCAAGTCATCTTTTATGATGTTTCTAATTGTTTTGCGGCTCACATTCAGCTCATTGGCTAGTTTTCGAGCTGACCTCGCACAATTTCGCCTAATTCTTTCACGCACATTCTTTATTATTTTAGGGGTTCTAACACTTCTTTTCCGACCAGTTTTTTTGGCTATATCAACACTTCCAGTTGCCTTCAATCGAGCCACAGTGCGCTGAACAAATCGCCTATTCACATTGAGATTTTTTAGCAACTTCACAATTTCACTTGTTTTTTTCCTTGCAAATGCAAGTTTTGCACTAGCTCCCGTTTTGCTTCCATCGTCGCCAAAATTCTAACTTGCACTGATCTTATCAGCAATAAACCCCGTTAGTTACGAAATAAGATAAAGAAAGAAGAAATGAAAAAACAAAAGAATAGAAGCACTTGTTTAAGAGTGCCGAAGCTTTGAAAAAGTGCGACAGTTATTTGGGCCCACGCTGTAATACATCATCAAAATGAACTCAAAACTGATTTTTATTATTCCACTCGCCTTGAGTAAGTTTTTCGACAGCATAACAGCGATTCTTATAAACTATATCCAAGATAGGTTTAAGCTTCTTGCCCGAAGTTGGCGGAGTACCTGTAGAAAACGATCTTCCAGGTGAAATAGCATTGGCCAATAACTCGATTGCTATACAAAATTCCACTAGCTGGGCAACAACCTTGCTGGAAATGCGGCATCCAATTTGGGGTCGTGTATATAGGATTCCACAATATCTAAGACGTCTTAAGGGCGAAATGGAAACGGAATTGCGGGGTAAGATTGTACCCAAATTTCCAAAGTGGCCACTTTTTTTCAAGGTTACAGTGGAGCCAACCAAACCCGTTGATATGGTCAATTTAGAGAACCACATTGGGGAGGTCGAACCACATCAAAATGTAGGAAGTTTGAAGTTAATGCGCATGCTGATCGAACATGTTTGTAGGTTCATAGACTCAATTCCTAGGTTATCTATAAACAATACACTCCTTTTTCCCATCAGGGAGGGATGCCAAGGCCCTTATAAAGAAGGACATGAAAGGAAAAGTCGATGGGGTTTAGATGATTTCAAATGAGTGGAAATTGATGAACATTTTTTGAGAAAACAGTTTTATTTCGAATTCAGTTTTGGACGATGGACAAGTCAAGATAAGAAGAGAAAAAGAAGTATCCAAACTATTAAATGAAAATGAAAATTTGTAGAGGAAGCCGGAAGAAAATAAAGATTAACGTGAGCACATTGTCCAGATTAAATAAAATATTCCAACATAAAAGAGCTATAAAAGAAGTTTGCACTTCCCAAATAATAAACAACAACAGATAAGGTACATTTAAGATTTTTTCATTGGTTTTCTTTTATATGTATATATATATATATATGTATATATAGTATAACATTGTTAACATTTATTATTGACTATGTAATATCCACTGCAGAGATACTTTTCGTGTTTCGTGTTCTGTTTCCGTTTCTGTTTGTTTTGCAGGTACTTAGTACTACTTTGCTCCTTGGGTTTGCGATTATTGTACGCTTGTCCTATATACACACGCTAACATATATATATATATAAGTATCAATAGGGTATATATATGAGAATTGGGGGGGTTTATTGGTTTCTTAGTTTCTTAGTTTCTTGGGTTCTTGGGTATTTGGGGGAGGGGTGGAATACTAAAGAGTTTAGGCGTTAATAAATACATCTCGAGTTTAGTTGGTAAAATTGCTAACATTTAGTAAGTAACTATGTTGTACATTCAAGGGCTATATCGTATAAGGTATCGCTGATCTATAACGATCGTAAATATATCTATGTGTATACAGTGTTGTATATGAATATGAAACAATCTGCAGTTATAGATTCTAGGCATAGGCTATGCAGTGAAGTCTTAGACGAGTTTAAATAGCACTTTCTCGAAGTCCGTACATCTATAAATGGTAAATATCGTGTATATCGCTAGTATCTAACTAGATTACAGTTACAGTTACAGTTACAATTAGAGTTAGAGTTAGTGTTAAAGTTACAGTTAAAGTTTCAGTTGCTTATATCGGTAAAATACTTGAGTAAAGATAGAGCTAAGATTGTTGACAGACTGACTACTCGCTTCTCACTTCTAATCCATTCGAAACCCACAGCGGGCTCTCTATCAAATTCCCTATGCTTGTTGCACGTTGCACGTTGCACGTTGCATGTTGCACGTTGCTAGTTGCTCGTTTGTTAGTTGATTTGTTCCCCATTTAGGTTGTGGTCATAGAATATTATTAGTGGATCATGTTGGTTCTCAGACAATCGGCACGCACACCCATTCCATCAGCCGGAACAGCAGCGAGCACAACCAATTCTAGGCGGCCGTCGTGACCTTTGGCTGACCGCCAGGTCCGGTTGCTCCTGCTCCTGCTCCAGCTCCTGCTACCGCCTCCGTGGATGCGGGTGCCACTGAGATCTCCTCCAGCTGATGCAGTTGCTCCTCCACCGGACCATCGCCACCGCTGCCACTGCCACTGCCACTGCTGCTGCTGCCGCTGCTGGTTATTGTGGCGCCGCTGCCGGTTTGGCTGGTGCGCAGCTCCGGCGGCAGATAGATTTTGACCACGCTGGTTATCTTCACCCGACAGTTGGGACAGTTGCTGCATCTGCAAGAGAGGATTTGCGAGGTCAATACAGATTCGAAATTGGGTACGAAATTATGCAAAATACATCTCCAAAATCATGATAGTCGCCCCTTACTATAAAAATCTGATCAACTTTTCGAAAAGGAATCTAAAATATAACTATTAATTTTCAATTAATTATGAGTTGAAAATATTAATTGCACCATTATACAATGCTGATATTTTATTGAATTTAATTGGAACTATTCAAGTAATGACAGTGCTTTATAAGATGTAATTATCGGATTATTTTAAACTAATTAAATTAGTGATTTTTCAAAACAAAACTCAAGCTCGAATTTAATAAAAAAAATCCTATTTTCTTTCACATCTAAGCCTTTGGTTTTAAATTAAATTTTGTTTTGGTTTTTTTAAAGCTCTTAAAAATTTGTATACAAATTATTCTGTTAATTTTTTTTTTCACTTTAAGGCCTTTTAACGCACTCTAATTTCATATTTAAGATTTTGACATTTTAGATCTATATAAATTGTATATAAACTAAATACCTATATAAAAAATATATAAAATATATAAAATAATATAATCACAAAACCATATAGGTGCTAAATACCTCTTTGCAAATATCAAACCAAATGATTATGAGAATGTGTTAAAAAACTTTTAGCTATGAAAATGATCTACGTTCAGGTGCTTAGTGCTTAAGCAAATAAAATTTTATTTTCTATAAGTTCCATTGAACTAAAGGCGACTCTCCCAATTTCAGTAGGGACCCATTTCATAAAGGTAAAACTCACCTTGCAGCGCACTGGGCACAGGCGATGACGTGACAGCACGGATTGAACACTGTGTTGATGGCGCGGTCCATGCAGATCTTGCACTGCATGGCCTCCGAGATGCGCGTGTCCACGCAGCGCTCAATCGCCGCCTCACGCGCCTCCTTCTCGCGAATGGCCAAATCTATCTTGCCGGCCATGGAGCCGCCGGCACCAGTCGTCGACAGGGCCAGTGCCATTGCGCTGACCCCGGCCACTGCGTCCAGGGGATCGCCGCCGGCAGAGGCGCCCAATGCTCCAGCGGCGGCGGCAGAATAGCCTTCGGCGCCCTCGGCCACCAGGTCGCCACCGCGCTCGTGAAGGGTCCTGCGGGCCTGGTCGTGCACCTCGCGACAGGTGTGCTGAATGTCGAAGACATAGCGCTTGCCCAGCTCCGTGTTCTCCATGAACATAGAGGCGATGGTGCCCTTGAGGTCCCGCGTGAACTGATTGGTCACCACACCGCGCACCTTGTCGCACACGTAGAAGGCATGGCGTTCGGTGATGGAGCGGTACAGACCCGCGGCGATCGGCTGCTTGGGCAGCTTGATCTCCAGCTCCTTGCGATCGTTGTGGTCGTCCACGTACTCCAATTTGAAAGTGCGACGCAGCGACTTGGCCGCAGCAATGGCGCCAAAGGGGATGCTAAATAAGACGGAATAAAACTAAGTTAGTTGAGAAATATTTTATAAATATATATTAGGGTTCTGTAACTCGAATCTAGCAAGTCTCTAAATGTTTTAAAAAATATACAAAAATAATTTACTTTTTAAAATCACTTTTAAAGGTGTCTAAAAGTATGCAACAAAATATTTTACAGCATACTTTTATGCACCTTCTTAAGTAAGATTTTACTCTTTGTAGCACTTCCAAAGAAAAATCTAACCCTGTTTGCAATTATATTTGTAACTGGGTCTTTAAAGCGATCGTTAGGCCACATCATTAAGGTTTATAACGCAGAAAGTGGGGTTCTATTAAAAAGTCCCACCTTTGACAGTAATTTTGCGCTACATAAACCAAAAGCCGAAATCATTTCGTGAAACAATGTCCAAAAAATGACTATAAAAAAGCCATTTAATTATCCAGGTTAATGCACCACCTACTTTTAAGAATGCTGTTCTCGTTCTGAGCAACTTTTTTCGCTATATTGTTTTTGAGGTTTCACCTTGACTTTTGTTTTATGAATTCATTAAAGATAAGTCATTTTTGGTTTTAAATAATAAAAAGAACAAGGTGAAAGTAGTGCATCCGGAATAGAGGTAAACAGAAAATACATTTTTTGTTGAATCGATTTAATGACTTGAATTATATGAGTTTTATTAGAAATAATCATCATTAAGCTTCAATTTTCTGTAGTAAAAACTTAATGGCTAGCTAAAAGTGTCTCGTTTCTTTTCTCCGAGTTACAGAAAACGATTAAGAGTTAAGAGAGGATCGTTTTTGTCCTGGAACTCACCTCTGTTTCTCGCCCCCCCGGCAGACGGTGATGCCATGGGCGCCCACCGCAATGTCACAGCGCGTGGCACTCTCGTTGGTGGTCACTCCGCTGAAGAGCTCCTCGCCGTAGCCCTCGAGATCCTGGATGGACTGCAGCAGCCAGTACTTGGCCGACTTGAGGCTCATCTGCAGCTTGGCCAGTTTGCCGTGCTCCATGGCTATTTGGCGGAGATAGTCCGCCGGTGGCTCGCCCTCGGAGCTGGGTTGGATCAGGTACTCCTCGTACATGCGCAGTGGATTGCTGGCCAGTCGCTCGTCCAATCCCGTTTGACTGCTGCTATTGCTCGGACTGCTAGAGCTGCTGTTCGAGTGGGTTTGCGAGCAGGCGGATGTTGAGACGGATGCGGATGCGGATGCTGAGGCAGATGCTGAAGCTGAAGCGGAGGCGGATGGCGAGGGCTGGAGACTGCAACTGGTGGCATTGGCCGTTGTTGGCAGCGTACTACAGATTTCGATGTGCTCCATGGACTTTTGCTTGGACAGGCGACGCTTCTTGAAACTGAGTACGTGCTCCTTCTCCTTGCGCTGCTGCTCCAAACGCTGTTGCTGCGCCTGCTGTTGCTGTTGCTGCTGCTGGGCCAACTCGCGCCTCATCCGCATCGGGCACTCTGCCCGCAGAGACGACTCGTTGAAGCGCAGTCCATCCGCCTGGCAGAGCAGCGCCGCCAGCTTGGCCGCTCCACTCCAATCGGGAGCGGTTAGGCGACCCTCGAGCAAGTCCCGCCTGGCCTGCATGTAGAACAGATTCCTCACACTCTCCTGCAGGATGAAGTGCACCGGCACCCAGAACTTGACCCTCAGGGCCAGCATTAACTGAATGCCACTGCCACTGCTTCCACTGTCGCCGGACAAACGGTTGCGCAGATTGATCCACTGACGCGTCTGCGACTCCTTCTGGTTGGGCGTCCAGTGCTCCAGGCCGAAGTACTCCATCTCGCAGATGATGTTCAATGCACGACAGACCTGAAAACAAAAGGGAACATGGGTTTAGTTTGACTGTCATTTATATTTATTATAAAAGTTATTTAATTTCAGCGCTGTTCGCCTTGATTTTTTGTGCTAAAGAATTCGCGTTTACTCTAATTGTTAAATATTAAGCAAAACCAAGGTAATTGTATTACCAATGATTTATTAGTCAATTAAACTGAATGCCTAGTGTTCTTCGGGCCATAAATAAATTTCCTTTGTCTCGCAGCGGCGATTTAAAGTTGAATTCAAATGTTTTCCAATCTATTCTGGATCAGCGACTTATCAATTCAGCTTGACAGAGCCTGTCAGCGACATGCGGCCTCCTCCAGCAGAGAAGCGGCCAAAAGCATGTCCTGTCGCCTATCTACCAACATTTCGCCATGACAGCGGCAACATCCGCAGCACCAGCAGCAACAACTGCCACCAGCAACAAGGAGAGCG